GTCATCACTTTGTGTTTTGGCTGGTGGATAAAAGCCCTGTTTCTGAAATAATAATTAGCTCCCCTGCGTAAAATGTTAATGGAGTGCTATCTCCTTGCAGGCAACTTCTTAAAAAACAACCTGCAACTTTAATTTGATGAAGGATCTCTGCACAAGCTAATGGGTAACAATAATCGACCAATGCAACATTCTTACTTGCTGCTTACTGTATCTAAAGGCCTTCTGCACACTGCTGAGCTTCCTGCATTAAAGGAAGGTCATGGCAAGCATGTGAAGCATTAGGGGTGAAATGCGCTGTTGTTATACATCAGCTATAGATCAAGTTCACTGGATGCAAGTGAGTCATGTCTGAAAGGTCACCTATCATGCTATTTTTAGGCAATAGCATAGGTCTCAGATATATACAAATATATAAATAACATGTCTATGAAGTGGTTTGCTCAAAATACCAAACAGATCACCCATTCTAGCCATGCCTCATATCCCTCTATTTCACTTCCTGTTTCAAAAGTGCTGATTTTGGGTATAAAGCTTTAAAAAAAAAAAAGAAAAGAAAAAAAGGAGGAGGCTGAGCTCATGCGGGACCCAGCAGCTACTGTCTAAACTAAATACTGCGGTGATGAAACGCCATATCATGGATTATCAAGGATTATTTCTGAAACAGTATGGAGCTCAAAGGCTTTCTCTCTTGCCGGTTATACCACAAGGTGAGTTCCTTTTTATTTCCTGCTTCTTCACACACATGCTCTCTCCAGTACAGGTTAGCTCTGAGTGTTAGCGATGCTAAAGTAAACACAGACCATATTACGTCCAAAACAGTCGGGCATTGTTTCCGATAGCAACTTTCTGATAGTGCCGTGGGTCCACATTTCCGATATTAAGTCATATCGGATGCAAATCTGGATCAGCTCCGTTGTAGCCCCGTTTTTAAGAGATTTGGGTACAGAGGAAAAGAGAGGGTTTTATTTTCTGACGCTGCGTGAGTTCCCCGACACACCGGGGACACATATTTATGTATAAAATACATCAAAAAGTGCATTTTGCATGATAGGTCCCCTTTAAGTCTACATTATGTTTTAAACACAACTACAACATGGCTCTTCCTTCGAGTGCATATAAAAGGGTAAATTACATGGTTGTTAGGCACCGGAAAGTTTTAAAAAGAGGAACGAGGTTGATAAAGCAGAATAGTGCAAAAAAGGAAGCTTTCATTAACAAAAAGTTTACTGAAACAACAAAAATGTAACCGGATCATTTCAATAAAACTAAATTAACTGTAGCAAACAAACACCAGAATGATTAAAACCGCAGCCTCACAGCAAGCGACCCACTCATTTCCTCCTGAAATATACCACCTACCCAGGTAAGTATAGAGTGGGCTTAATGGAGCAAGCATCCAAATCACACCCAGCAACACCGTTAATAGTCATTTATACACCCTAATTGATAATGCATGCTGACAACTGGAGGTCGACCACAACTGTGCCCACATTCAAAAGCAAACTGAAACCAGGACTATTTTTCCCTAGCTTAGGGATCATTACCGTTGATGTTTCGTTTTTTTATTGCTGTGTGGTTGGGCATAGCCTTGATTTTACTGCTGTATTTTCATACTTGTGTTTTTTTTAAACTACCAGTTAAAAGAGAGAAAAGCAACAAGGTCCTAGTATTCCTTAACTTCAGATCTATCCTAAGTCTATTGTTTGTTTTAAAATCAGTAGGGCAAGAACCATAAGAACCAAATAATATGACTTCAATCACCAACAATAACCCTTAAATGAAAAGTTAACATTCCATTAGCTGTGGTACAAAACATTATTGAAACTAAAAAGATTCCGGGCTTAAAAAAAAATACAGAAACAACAAGATGTTCAAAGGAAAGCAGATATGTGCATTTTATCGCACTGTCAAGAACCAACAGTTAACAGACCACAGAAGTCAATTACTGTAACTTACAATGAACCCAACATTCAACATCCACAATGCAGCCAAACACACACATTACCACTTAGGCCCCGTCCACACGGAGACGAAACGGGTGTTATCCGCTATTATAGCGGCCAAAATCATAAAAATATAAGAAAGAAATATAACGCAAAGTGCCGCTGAGGCACCCGTCAGCGAATCTTACGCATGGGTAAAAATCAAGGTCCGAGCAAAAGTCGTTTCAGTGCAATTTATTGTCAACACATCAAGCATTTCTCTTCCTTCTTACCCGATGGTAAAAAACCATAAGCCTACCGGGTGCGCCGCTCACTACCACCTGTTTCCCATATTTATAATGAGCCGGTCTCCCCTCCCCCGGTGCCCAAAGGCTGTCTTTACAAAACAGAGGCATGGTACAACTTATTTGATCAACTTAAATAAGAATTAAAAGGAAGATTTACTATAAACAAAAAAGAACAATAAAATAAATGGATAACTATTAAATAATATAAGCTCCTAGATATGGCTTCATCATACCGGCCCCTAATTGTGATGCAATAGCAAATCAATTACAACAAAACATTCTATGGAGCCAGGTAACACCTTTAAATATTTGAGACTACGCAAAATATCTAATTACATTTTTGTTTATCATACAAAATCTACTAATATGCATATATACATTCAACAAGTCATTTCAATTAGCCCCCACTTAGATCCCCCCCAAGGTTCATGCTGCATCAGTGTCTTTGGTGGTTTCACCAGTCACTGTCCCTGAGGCAGGAGACAATAGTCAAAGGGTATCAGTGTAGTTTGAAATGGAGAGGTTTGTGTATGGAAAGATGTAAGAAAGACAGTATGTGTGTGTGCAGGGGATAGGGGTAGGGCATTGGCTAGCTCTTGGCTCAGTTGGCTTCCAGGAGTAGACAGAGCTTACTAATGGGCCTTTGCAGGATGTTAGTGTTGGTCTGAACTAACACACTTCTGACCAGACCTTTGGGTCCGGGCAGGGTTTTAACCACACGGCCGAGGGGCCACGAGTTCCTTGGTGCCGTTTCATCGACGATGACCACAATATCATTGGGTTGAAGATTCCTTCTAGTGTTGACCCACTTTTGCCTTTGCTGCATGAGTGGCAGATATTCTTTAGCCCACCTCTGCCAGAAGAGGTCTGCAATGTATTGAACTTGTCTCCATCTCTTTCTGGTGTAGAGGTCATCTTTGCAGAAGAGTCCAGGTGGTAAGAGTAGTTTGGTTTTCAGCTGCAGCAGGTGGTTTGGCGTGAGGGGTTCTAAATCATTAGGATCAGCTGACACAGTTGTGATTGGTCTGTTATTGAGAATAGATTCAACTTCACAAAAGGCAGTTTGTAGCATTTCATCATCCATGACCTGATGTTGAAGAACTGAAAAGAGTACTTTTTTCACCAGCCGGATCAGTCTTTCCCACACTCCTCCAAAGTGTGCTCCTGATGGGGGATTGAACAGCTACCTGACTTGCTCAGAGAGCAGGGAATTCTGGATCCTTTTGTGATCAAGCTGGTTTAGAGCAGTCTCCAGTTCTTTCTGAGCGCCTACAAAGTTGGTCCCACGATCTGTTCTGATCGTTAGAATTGGTCCTCTTCGACATGAAAACCGCCTTATGGCGTTGATGCAGGAGTTAGTATCCAGGGTACTCGCCACCTCCAGATGAATAGCTCGACTCACAAGGCAGGTGAATATTACCCCCCACCGCTTCACCTGGCCTCGACCTCTTTTAACCACGATGGGTCCGAAATAGTCAATTCCCACATGAGAGAAAGGTGGAAGGTCTGGAGCCACACGATCTTCAGGTAGGTCAGCCATTTTTTGTTCTCCAACTCTAGCTTGCATGCGTCTACAAAAAACACAAGCCTTTATTATTTTCCTTGCAGAAGAGTTGGCAGAGGGTAACCAGAATTTCTGGCCTAGTCTGGAGAGCATGTGGTTCCTCCCAGAGTGTCCGACCTGTTGATGAATATCGCGTAGAATCAGTTTGGATATGTGGGAGTTTTTTGGAAGGATTATCGGGTTTCTCAAATGTACTGGCATAGCAGATTTACTTATGCGTCCTCCAATCCGTAGGATACCTTCATCCAGAATAGGATCAACTTTGCGTAAGGGGCTGTCAGCTTTAACATCTTTTCCTTTCCTTAGCAGCATCAGCTCAGATTCAAAGTAGCGCTCTTGTTCATAGTGAATGATGGATTTCTCTGCTTCCTCCAAATCCTCCATAGATAGTCCTTGTTGTCTTTCTGCAGTTTTGGAGCGGGTCACTGGTGCTTTAGCTCTTTTGGATTGAAGCAGTCTTTTGAGTTTCAACAACCAACCAACTGCTCTCTGTAGTTTTTTCCAAGAGGAGTAGTGTTCAATGAGGTCGGTGGTTGCACAGTTATTTATTTTCAAGCTGTTAACAGAGATGTCCTTTTTGATCTCTGGATCATTAAGGAGGATGTGGCCAAGATCCTTTGGCACTTCCGGCCATTCACTTTCCTCCTTTGAAAGGAAGTCAGGGCCATTCAACCATCTTGTGGACTCCAAGAATGGTTCAATATTCAATCCACGTGATGCAAAGTCTGCTGGATTGTCCTTGGAACTTACATGCCTCCATTGGCTTTCTTGGGACAAGTTGTGAATCACAGCTATCCTATTAGCAACGTAGGTATGGAATCTTTTTGTTTGGTTGTGGATGTATTTTAGTACTGATGTACTATCTGTCCAGAAGGTTGATTTCTGTAGTTTCATGTTTAGTTCCTTCTGTAACATCCTGTCAACTTTTACAGCAAGTGTAGCAGCTGCGAGCTCCAGTCTGGGAATTAGGCCGCAAGGTGAACCTCGAAAAGTCCTTTAGAAAAGAAATCCCGCTCCACAGAAGTGAAACTACACAATCTTTAGTTCATAAAAAAGAACGATTCATGCTTATCCACCAAAAAAAATTTCGTCGCTAAAATTCCTGCCAATTCTTCTAGGCACGTAATTATTGGCTGAACTATTCCCTTCGAAGCGTAATAATATCTTGGTCCAAAGTCGTGCCACGGTTCATCACGTGATCGTGCTACACCAATTGGGTAGCTGCATATTGTCAACAGAAGTGAAAGATGGCGGCCGCCATGGTTTCATCGAGTAGCGGAGACGAGGAAAACGCACCAGAAAGTCTCAAAAAGTCAAAATTGTCAACACACAAACATTGTTACATGCATATTACGTCTGTGAAGCACGAAAAGGTTGATTGTTTTACCAATACAAGATGGAATACGTACAGGACAAGCTTACAACGGTCGCTCGGCTTGAAGGGAGACTCTCGGAACGTGGTGGCTGAAAACCACAAGCACTGTCTTGATTTCGAGTTCGAAGATATTCCTGAGGACGCTGGCTTCCACCACATATGCTACATAAGGTTTACCGACACAAAGGCCATGACGAAGGTGGAAAGACGGCTCGCACGTGAGGGAGATCAAGACGTTAGGGAGGACCTTGAGGTCGAGCCCATCCCATCGACGTCTCGCAGCACGTACCGAAGCCAAACAGAGAAGCTACGATCAAGGTCAGGCCTGCCAATCGCAGGCTCTGGCCCCGTCCTTCCTGCCCTGTGCATTATATGCAAGATGAAGGAGAAAATGATCATCAAAGCAGGCAAGCGACAAAGGGATCAACTGTGTAAGGCTGAAACATTAAAAGCAGGTAAGCAAACCCCCTCCCCCACCCACACACCACACACACTACACACACACCACACACACACACACACACACACATTCTCTGTGGTTGAATAACTGAAAGGTACAATTATGTGTGAGAGATACGTCAACAAACTCATTGAGTTGTCCTTTTTTTCCGTTTAGGCAAATTGCAGAAAGCTGCTGAGAAGAAAGATGACCAAAGTGTTCTTTTACATATAAAAGACAAAGACTGTGTGGCTCTGGAGGTGCGGTACCACAAAAGCTGTTACAGTCAGTACACCATGTTTTTGCTGAGACCTGACAAACCAGAGACAGAACAGTAAGTTATTTCTCCTTGGATTGCTTTACCTATTTGCACTACCACCAGACTGAAGTCCAGGTGTGTGTCGGCGATGGCTATATATATATATACACATACACATACTTAACATTATAAGTAAACATCCAATTTCCTTCTGTTATATGTGCACACAATCACAACACTTATTCATTTATCCATTTATTTACTTCTCATTCATGTGTTGTAGGGATGAGGCAATGTTTGATGCCAGTTACAAGCTGTTCTGTGAGAGGATCATCCGCCAGAGGCTGCTTGTCAACAATGAGGTGCTTAGAATGGGCCAGCTGAGGCAGGCCTTCATTGACATGGTGAAAGCAAACGAAGGTGTTGATGCTTCAAACTACAGGTAACTGCAATGTAATACAAGTATTATTATTTATCATGTGCAAGGCCAGCTTTAAACAAAATGTGTATGACAGGCCTGTTTGGAGAAACCCCCATGATGTGTAGTGTGTAGTGTTGTTTGTGATGATGTGGGCCTTTATTTGGCTTCTTTGGTGTTAAATGTGCTGTATGGCAGATAGGTTCTAGTCTGTAATGTCTTGTATCACCTCCACCACTCTGCTTTTGATGGTACTCCTGTGACTCGTAATTGTCACTGTTTTGTTGTGTTACAGACAGGATCTGTTGAAGAAGAGGCTGGCTCAAGATTTCCCTCAGCTAGCGTTTCACATGCCCACCAAGCGCAACGTCTGCGAACTGGTTTTTGCTGAGACTCTGTCAAAGGATGCACTCGTGGACATGCTACCAGATCCATCCGGTACGGAAACAACACAGTCCAGTGAATTGAGCCAGACAGACAGCGACAATGAAACAGGGAGAACAAAGTGCCAAACAACACATGAGGACACAAGGACACTGTATACAGCAGCGTTGTTTTTGAAAAGACTGCTTAGTGACACTCCTGGCATGTCATGCCCATGGCCTCCCACTTCTGAAAATGTAAATGTCACTGAATCTCAAACTGTTGTCCCCATTGGACTATACAATCTGCTCAGCTGGATTATAGGTTCCACTGAGGAGCCAACACTGGATCATTATGTCAACATTGATGATGACGTACATTTGAAAGTGTTGTCTGTTTGTCAAGACATTGTGTACCTTGCTTCCAAGGGCCGCAAGCAGACACCCAAGTCCTTGGCTTTAGGTTTAACTGTTCGACATTTAACTGGATCATCACGCATTGTATCACTGCTTAACAGACTGGGACATTGTGCATCATGGGACACAGTTTTGAGTCTAGACACTAGCCTTGCCCAACTGACACTAGTAGAAGGCAGAGACAAAATACCGAAGGGATTCTCAAAGCGGACACCCACAACACTTGTGTGGGATAACATTGACTTTGGTGAGGAGACACTATCGGGTCGTGGAACTACTCACCATACAAATGGAATTATGCTCCAGAGTGTGCCCGGCGAGCCTATGTCCACAGCAATCAGACAGCCACTGAGAAAGGGAGTTACCTCATTCATAGCCCCCCCCCCAATGCCTATACAACCTTACCATCAGTCCAAAAGGCAAGGGCCACAGAACTTGTGTCAACCAGTGCAGTCAGCGACATGCAGAATGGACACCCACTTTGCTGTACAAGCTGAAATGGCATATGCTTTTGTGAAGTCCACATGTACGGATAGTTGTACAATCCCAAGCTGGACAGGGTTCCATACACTGCTTCAGGATGAAAACACTCTGCAGAAGTCCGCATTGTATTATCTTCCAGTCATTGAAGCCTCACCAACAGAGATGTCAACAGTCAACACTATCCTGAAGCGAAGTGTCCAGATTGCTGACCAGCTAGAACTGGATCATATCGTTTTAGTGTTTGACCAGGCTATATATGCCAAAGCACAGCAAATACGCTGGAAGGATGTTGAGTTTACAAAGCGTCTAGTGATTAGACTAGGTGAATTCCATACATGCATGTCCTACCTGAGTATTCTAGGCAAAAGGTTCGGAGATGCAGGACTGCAAGATATCCTCATTGAATCTGAAGTTGTTGCCCCAGGATCCATCAATGGGGTACTCAATGGCCATCACTACAATCGCAGCATGAGGGCTCATAAACTTCTATATGAGAGTCTGCAGCGCATCCGGTTTATCACCTTCATGGACTCCTTGCCACCCCAAGAGAGAGCTGCGTGCATGGATGTCATCACTGAGATGGAATGTGCCTTTCCAGACAGATTGATGGATGTTTTGAGTGCAGATCAGAGGTTTGATAATATGTGCTCGAAATATGCAGACTTTGTGCAGAGGAGGAGTACAGAGAATGCAACATTTGCTTTCTGGAGCTCATACATTGACATGATGCAGCTACTCCTCCTGTTTGTGAGAGCAACGCGAGAATCAAACTGGCAGCTTCACCTGTCAACCGTCCGGTTAATGATGCCATGGTTTTTTGCCTACGATAGAGTAAATTACGCTCGATATTTACCTGCATACTGGCTGGAAATGATGAATCTGCCTGTCACACATCCCTCTTGCCACAGTGACATGAATGTGAAAGGCCAGTGGACTGTCCAGCGACAAAGTGTTCATGGATTTGCCTCCATTGCTTGCGACCAGGCTATTGAGCAAACGCTTAACAGAGATGCCAAGACCAAAGGTGGCTGGACAGGGATCACACAAAATCGGTCTGCAGTGTATCGCTGGATACTGTCACAGCATGAAAGAGCCGCGATAGCAAGACAGTGTGAATCAATGGCAGGGATATCTCCTGAGCTACGGACAAGAAAAGACCTGGACAAGACACGCATCTCTGCTGATGCAAAGGCTGTGAGTAGAATCTTGGACACTATTGATTCCATGCTCAACCCTTTTGATGTACACCAAGACGGCATTGTGTGTCTTAGCTCTGGAAGAGTAGCAACAGGAGAAATCACAAAGGATTTGCTTGTTGCCTCAGAAAAGGGTGAAAATGCTGTAAAGGAGTTTATGGAGCAGAGACTGTTATCCAAAACAGTTGACATATTTGCCCCCATAATATCACAAAAACTCAAGACTCTCAGTGATCAGAAAAAGCCCCCCAAAAAATCTGCAGCAGGCAAGGAAGTGATTTTGCGTGCTGACAAGAAGTTATTTTCCAGGCTCCTCATCCTTGGCCAGAGCAGGAAAATTGAAATGAGGGAAATTCTGTCATATTCCTTGGGAACTGTGTCATATCCATTAGCAAGTGCTGATGGTTCACTTGCCAAAACAAACAAATCAGCTCTCATGGATCTATTGCAGAGCAAAGGTGGAGAGTGCTTGGTTGACAAAGTTCCAATAGGTGGTGCCATTCTTTTTGATGGCATGGCAGTCATGCAGGCCATGCCATCCAGACCAGCAACATTTGGAGAGCTTGCAGAGACCATACTGCAGAGCATACTCCAACTTGCTTTGCATCACAAGTGTACACGCATTGATTTTGTCACTGACCGGTATCCACCCATCAGCATCAAAAGCCTAGAACGGTCCCGTAGAGCTGATGCAGGGTCACAACTAATAACAATCTTCAGCCCAGATCAGAGAACTCCAACCCAGTGGAAGAAGTTTCTCTCTGACGGAAAAAATAAGGAAGCACTGGCCGAATTCCTTTATGTGGCATGGACACATGCAGACCTCACAACAGTGGGTAAAAACCTCAGCTTGTACATTGCCCATCAAAATCAATGCCACTGTGTAACTGTCATGGAGGGTGTACAGTCTGTTGATGTTGTTGAAGACCTGCAGTGTGATCATGAGGAATGTGACACACGGGTGTTTTTACATGCCCAACATGCTGCACAGGAGCACAAAGCTGTCATCATCAAGAGCTCGGACACTGATGTGGCAGTCATTGCTGTAAGTCTGCAGGCAGATTTGCCATGCAGCTTATATGTGTTCACAGGGACTGGCAACAGGACACGGATCATTGACATTGCCATGGTGTCATCAGCTCTCGGAACCAGTGTGTGTTCAGCCTTGATTGGAATTCACACGTTCTCTGGGTGTGACTCCACAAGCGCTTTCTATGGCAAAGGCAAAAGAAAGTCATTTGCTGTTGCATGTGAGAAAGATGACTACCTTAAGGCTTTCAGAAGTTTAGGTACTAACTTTGACTTGGAGCAATCAACATTTGCACTTCTTTGCCGGTATGTATGTCACCTGTATGATCAGCCAGCAGCCGAACATGTAAATGATGCTAGGTACAAGGCTTTCTGTATGGCATCATCGGCCTTGCCAGAATTAAGCATTCCCCCTACTCATGATGCCCTCCATCAGCACTGCAAAAGGGCAAATTACCAGGCAGCAATAATGAGGTCCTGTCTCAAAAGAGAAATGAATGCTCCATCACCTGCTGGATATGGTTGGGAAATAGAGGATGGGAACTTACACGTCACCTGGATGACAAGAAATCCTGCCCCTGACAGTGTGTTGCATGTGATACACTGCAGCTGCAAAGAGTCTGCCTGTGAGAAAGGCAGATGTTCATGCTTCTCTGCAGGACTCTGTTGCACAGACTTATGTCGTTGCTCAAATTGTGCAAATAAAAAAGAAACAGAGGAAGAGAACGATGACTGCCCTGACACTGACAGTGAGGAATAGGAATAAAAGAGCCTTCTTTCCATCTTTCTTAAGCTCTTTTCTGTTCTTTTGGTTTTAGTGCCTGGCCGACGCGCTCACACATCACTCATAGATACATTTGTTTTTGGTACTAGAACAGAGTATAATCAGCAGGACTCTTTTAACCAGCTGAGGCAATCACAGCACCAATCAGCCGCTCCGCCCAGCCTGACACCAATCAATTATACTACATTACATGTCCTTCTACTGTTTTCTATGTCATACCTTTTATATTTGTAATAAATCTCGTTTTTATGGTTCATCAGTGTTGTTTTCATTTGTGGAGGGATGAATGAGTAAATAAATGAATCAATGGACATTGGTATAAGTAAGGCAAGGCAAGTTTATTTATATAGCACTTTTCAACACAAGGCAATTCAAAGTGTTTTACAAAAAATTAAAGACATTAAGAAAATGGCATTTAAAATCAGTCATTCAAAAGAAAAGCTAATAAAAGAAACATTAAAAGAAAAAATACATTGATAAAAGTTACAGTGCAGTCTAAGATATGAATAGTTCAATTAAAAGCAGCAACAAAAAGAAAAGTCTTCAGCCTGGAAGTACTGCATTTTATTGATCTAAATTACTTAACGTAACAAGTTAACCTTCTTCTTGGACGCAGAAATCAAGTCATGTTTATTTTAAGAGTGCATTTAACGTGTACAGGATAACAACAGACAGACAAAAAGTCCTCAGTCTAATGGAATAATCCCAATGAACCTAGCGATGTGAACATGGCAGTCCAGGAATGATAGTTTGATAAATATGAGTTTGATATACTTTATTAATCCCCGTGGGGAAATTGTTTGTAGCTGGAGTTGGCTGATAAACGCTGCTAGTCAATGTTGATTCGATGGTCAACTCTGTTCCCAGATAGTAAAACCTCTCACAAATACCGCGTATATAACGCAAATACCTCGGACTTAGTGATGTATTAAGACATATGACAAAACATGACATAAAACAAGCATACAGCACTGTTTAGAATCCATTTGGTCTGGTTTAGCGTAACCATGGCGGCCGCCATCTTTCACTTCTGTTGACAATATGCAGCTACCCAATTGGTGTAGCACGATCACGTGACGAACCGTGGCACGACTTTGGACCAAGATATTATTACGCTTCGAAGGGACTAGTTCAGCCAATAATTACGTGCCTAGAAGAATTGGCAGGAATTTTAGCGACGATATTTTTTTTGGTGGATAAGCATGACTCGTTCTTTTTTATGAACTAAAGATTGTGTAGTTTCACTTCTGTGGAGCGGGTTGAAACGATAACAGGGTTCACCTTATGGCCTAAATGGTGATTTGCTTCAGAGGATTGACTCTGGATTTCCCGAGAATGAATGACACATGAGTATCTCCTTTGTGGTTCGTGAATCTAATGTAGCTTGCAGTGCCATGCCCTTTTTCACTTGCGTCACAGAAGTGATGCAGCTCAGCAGTCCTTATGAGTCCAACATGTTCAGGCTTAATGCACCTGTTCACTTCAAATCTGCCCAGCTGATCTAGTTCTGCTATCCATCTTTGCCATGACTTTGAAAGGTGTTCTGGGATAACTTCATCCCATCCACACTTATCAATGCAGAGTCCTCTAAGGATTTGCTTCGCCTTGAGGATGAATGGTGAAAGGAAACCGAGGGGGTCGTAAATAGAACTGACAATAGAAAGAACTGTTCTTCTTGTAGGAACTCTGTGTTTGATGGCAGCAGTGAAGGTAAATGTATCTCTCACAATATTCCACTGGATGCCTAGAACTCTTTCTAGAGGTGTTTTTTCGTTGTCCAGATCTAGTTGCTCCACTGGTTTAGCTCTGTGCACTTCAGGGATGGTTCTAAGCACGTCTTGGCTATTACTCACCCATTTGGTAAGAGTAAATCCTCCTTCGGCACATGCCTTCATTAGATCCTTGGTAAGGTCGATAGCTTGAGTTGTAGAAGCCACAGATTTGAGACAATCATCCACATAGAAGCTGCGCTGAATGGTTTCCAGTACTTCCGTGCTGTATTTACTGATATTGTCTCTTGACACTTGTTGCAAGGCAAAGCTGGCTATGCTTGGGGATGATACTGCACCAAAGAGATGCACATTCATCCGATAGACCTCCAGTGGTTTGCTGATGTCTCCTTGAGGCCACCACAAAAACCTGAGATAGTCACGGTGGTCTTCCTGTACTTGTACTTGGTAGTACATTGCTTCAATGTCAGCCATTATTGCAATTTTCTCCTGACGGAAACGAAGCAAGACGCCTAGAAGGGGATTAGTCAAGTCCGGACCTTGGAGGAGTGCAGCATTAAGGGACTTTCCTTTAAATGAAGATGAACAGTCAAATACAACCCTGAGTTTCTTCTTTCTTTTATGGTAAACCCCATGATGCGGTATGTACCAGAGCCTGCCGTCTGATCTTTGAAGTTGATCTTGTGGAACCTTTTCGGCATAGCCCTTGTCCAGTACCTTTTCCATGAAGACTTTATATTCTTCAGCGTAAACTGAATCCCTCTTGAATTTCCCAGCAAGGTTGGCTGTGCGATGTAGTGCCATGTTGTAATTGTTAGGCAGGGCCAAGTCCTTATCACGGAAGGGTAGAGGTAAGTTGTAATGTCCGTTTTTGATGATTATTGAACTTTCAGCCAAGTCCATGAATTTCCTGTCCTCACATGACATCTCTCTTTTTTCCTCATATTCCTTTTCAGGGAAATCCTGGTTGTACTGTGAGACTAGCTGGTCCCTCAGATTATCCAGTGAAATTCTATTGACGGTTGCTGACCTTGTTTCAGAAGTATCCAAAGCAGTGTGAGATTTGAGGGGCCCATTGACCACCCATCCAAACATTGTCTTCACTGCATATGGTCCATTACCCTGACTGTGGATTATATCCCAGAGTTCCAAGGCTTTGGGAACATTCATCCCTATCAGCATTTCAATGTCTGCATCAATTTCCTTGATTTGGATCTGACTGAGATGAGGCCATTTTTCAAGATCGGAGTGTGTGAGAAGGTTTTCCGTTGAGACAGGAATCTTAGTTTGTGTATACACTTTGGGCAAGTTGATAAATTGTCCTCCATCTATGTTTCCTATTTCCAGACCTGTGATTTCATAGCTTTTTGCATTCCTTTTTTGTCCCATTGTACGGAGTAGAATTTCAGTCTTTCGTCCTTTAGTATTCAGTTGGTTCATTAGGTTTTCAGTACAGAATGTGGCCGTGCTCCCAGGGTCAAGAAAGGCGTAGGTTTGAATATACTTGCTTCCTTTTGCTGCTTTAACTTGCACCGGAACAATAGCAAGAGCACAATCCTCACCGGCCCCTGTTGACTGATCAGCTGATACCTTCGCACTGTTGATGGACACTCGCTTTGGTTCTGTTCTACTGTTTTGCAGGGTGACTTGTTTTGAATTTAAATCATCACTATGCAGCAGTGTTGGATGTTTCCTTTGGCATGTTAGACAGTTTAGCTTCAATGTACAGTCTTTGCTCATGTGACCCTTCTTAAGGCAACCAAAACAGTAACCATTTGTCTTTAGATAATTAACCTTTTGGTCGTGAGGCTCTGATTTTAGTTTTAAGCAGTCCACTACTGCATGCCTGCCTTGACAGAAACTACATAGGGTTGCAGGGGCAGCTTTGATGTAGGTGGGTTGCTGCACCTTAAATGCCTATAGCTTGGTGTCATGATGTTCAGTTGCAGCGACAGCCGTGGCAAAGTTACTGCTCCTTTTAGGTGTTCTGAGGTCAGTTGTCCTATTGTTGGTGATTATCCTTTTAGTGGGATTTGAGTCTTTAATTTCTCCAAACACTGGGTGTAATAATATGTCAGAATGCTTTTCGGTGAATTCGACCAGATGTTTGAATCTAGCCCTGATGTTCTTCTTTTGAAATTCTTCATACGCTGTTGTGCGCCATCTTTCCCTGAGCTTATATGGTAGCTTGGATACAATTAGTCTTAACGTTGATGTGACGTCTAGCTCATCCATGTACTCCAAGTCCTGCATGGCGTTAAGGCATTCTCTTAGGTATAGTGAGTAGGCATGAAGAGATTGTCCATCATCTGGCTTGATAGCTGTCCAGTTGAGTGCCTTATCCAGATAAGCATTTGCAATTTTCATTTCATTTCCATAATGTCTCTTTAAAAGTTGCATGGCCTCTGAATATCCTCTTTGTGCATCCATGTGAAGACAGCTACGGATCAGATCTCTGGCTTGACCTGATGTAAACTGTTCAAGAAAGTAGAGCCTGTCCTGGCAGTCACTAGTTTTCTCTTCAATTAGGTATCTGAATGCATGCATGAAAGGTTGATAAGAGAGTGGGTCCCCATTAAACACAGGCACCTCTCTCTTAGGTAGCAGGGATAGATTTTGTTGCATTATCATGAGATCAGCTATGTCCTTTTGTCTCTGTGCCAGTGTGTTGAGGTTTTCCTGAGTAAAAATGTTGATTGCAGGATTTTCCAGTTGTGGGCTTGATCTCCCATTTGCTTGCCGAGATCTTTTATGGAAATCCACAATTGTTCTATGTAGTGGAGTTTTAGGTACAGCAGCTACTTCAATAAATTCCAAGACAGAAGTGTCTGTATACGTTTGCTCCACATTTTCCAGTTTACCTTCTTCATCTAAATAAGCATTCATAGCATCCCCAAGATGATCATCCTCATGTGGGCTGAGAAGTACCCTCATTTTGGCATCTGCTGCTGCAATCTGTGATTCCATCTCCACCTTTTCCATCTTTGATTTGAGAATGGTTTCCTCCAGTCGCAGTGCATGCATGTGCTTTAAAGCAGCACACTTAGCCTCCAAAGCTGCCCTTTCTGCTGATGCTAACTTAGCAGCAGATGAGGCCCTTGATGTTGAAGTCCTTTTGGAGGCATTGGAGATACTGTCAAGTGGATCAACTTGTAGTTGTGCAATACGTTCTCTTCTCCATGCTTTAACTTCCTTTGCAAAGTAATTAAAGTTCATAATTCTGGGTTCATACCAGTCCGTTGCATCAATGTCCTTTTCTTCTTCAGATAAGAGTTGTTGGAGAGAATGATGCACTTTATTGAATTCATCCATAGCAGTTTTAAAC